GGAAGAGGGGGAAACGGTGGCTCATTTCCCAAACAGGGGCTAATAATTGAACCTACTCAAAATAGGTTATAAATTAATCTCAAATTTCCACTAACATCGATCCATTCGAACACGTCTTCGTTCCTGGCTTTCCTCTTTAATACGAGAGTCCTAAGTTCTTCCTGTATTCTAGCGGAGTGTTGCCCTGTTGAGCCAGTGGGCTGCGATGAATTATCCTGTCCAAGGGCAAATTCAATATTCTACAAGCAAAAGGAAAGACGAAATAATAATTTCCAGTATAAATGATGAAACAACAGGAAGGTAACAAAGCCCATGAACAAGCTCAGTTGCACCTCTGCACCTTCCAAAGTACCCAAAGTCTTGGTTTTACAGTGTAATTTGCTCTCTTTCTGCTGGTGAAATTGGTCAGTAGCCGGCTCTTAGCTACATCCTTGCAACAGCATAACGAATAACAATACTGCATCTCGTAGCAGGATAGCTCCCGTGACCTCCAGATAACAAGACTGGCCCCTTACCTTCGCCCAAATACAGCCCTTGGTTCAATAGCACATCAGATAACATGAAATGAAAGACTCACATTAACATTAAAACACAAAGTTAGTTGTTCTGTACCTTGTCCTTGGCAAATTTAACAGCTTCTTCCTCAGTTTCAAAGAAGGTGTTTAACCTCAGACGATATCTACTCAAAATGGCAGATACATCTTCACGGCTCTAGATACAGACGGAAGAAAAGTAAGAACTCTACTCATCTAACTATGCTTCTTTTATTAATAACAACAAGAATAAGAACCTTCAGTGACAGGCCAGAAGAAAACTGTGAAATCCTTAACTCTTTGCCTTAACAGTAGTTCTTTCATCTGTTAACAAAAACTGAGGGAAGACAGGTAACATCCCACATACAAACTCACAACAGCAATATTGGAATTGAAAGTGATCTACAAATCACAATACATTTTCTAACTCCTGTCATCCAACAAAAACGATATGATAAACACTATAGTCCTTGTTTTAATGGAAAAGTTGACTTAACCACTCGATTTCAGGATGGCGGTTCTCTAGACATGACAAGGCCACAGTTTTGAGCTTGTGACCCTGTTAATCAGTACAAAAGAACCAAAAATAATGATAAACAACAACGAAACAATGCCTCCTGAACAAAGCAAGTGCAGTGGGTATTGCTATGTTGCCCCGCAATTTCTCATAAAATGAACCACCCACATGTAACAGAACTTACCGACTCATTGGTGGCAGTCTGCAACATGTGCGCAAAGAGTTTGGCAGCTTTGTTTTTCGACACATATTTCAACACCCGTTGAGAAAATAGTTCATCAAGATCAAGATTGCCATCAAATGCTGTTGGTCCCATGAGTTCTGCAATGTATTTCCACAACTGCGGAATGTCAATTTCTAGGTCTTCAGCAAATGTAAATATCTGTTCAACACTGAAAAGAGATCATAAAAAAGAAATAATTAGGGTGAAATGAATTCTGCAACCACCTTAAATTTTTCAAAAATTTGTTTAACAGTGATTGGGCATTTGTGTGATACTAATATTGCCCTGTCTCTCAAGAAAGTGTAGTTCATGTAGTATTGATCCATCAAAGTATAACTGCTGAAAAGTGTTGGAAACTGTTGTCAGCAATCTTATTGTCAATCAGAATTTTCCCATTCCCTGAGCTATGGATCCTTACAAGGATATAATTGTGGTATTTTGCTTAACTACAGAGATTCTTCTTGTCTGCTATTTAATAAGAATGAGTCTGTGCACATCACTAACATGATGCCAACACATCATTCTGTCTAGCCCATTTCCAAATTGCTCATTGCCACTCTATCCAAGTGAGACCTGTTGCACAATCACTCATATGACAATGAGTTTGATTTGAATGTTACTGAAGTCTCATTTTTATATGAGAATATTGGCACCAGGACTTGCTTTGAGAAAGAGACTAGAGATTATTTGAAAATGGTCTGTTGATAAGAGAGATTTGAGAGAACTGATAACGCTGAGTAGACACAACCACCTGCTAGTATTACAGAATGATTACAGATAAAGGACTGAAGATGAAGGAGTAAACAATACCCAGATCACAGACATACCCATTGAGATACTGTTCAGGCGTAAGTGCCCCATCACGGAGCAAGTAATGCAGCAGCCTGCCAGTAGCACTTCTGTCTGAAGCTTTTTTCTCCATAGTATGGTTGAATGCCAGATTCACAAAGACGTGATGTGTTGAAGGGGACTGAAGTTCTTTGAAACACTCCACTGCCTCCTAACAAGGTAAAAACACAGAGATTTTAAACTTCAGCATTCCAGGGAATAAAACAGTTTAAAGTGAACTCTCTCCAAGATGAACACTCTTGGGAACAGTTCTATGTGACTGCCCACAAAGAGTCTAATTCTCCTGAAAAGGCTGCATTCTCACCCACCTTCATGTCTCTTATGTCAAGATACTCGTCGATAATTGCATGCGCCTTCTTTTTCATTGCTTCTTCTGATAGTTCAGGTGTTGGAGAAACAGAAGCAGAAGCAGCCTCTACGGGTGAAGCTGCTACTGGGATCAGTCTTGGAGATTCCCTTCCTCCTTCACGCTCTTGGTTGTTACGCTGAAAGTTAAAGAAAGCACGCAATGTTTAAGATCACTTGCAAAGTCAAGGAAGGATGTTCATGCAAAGTCCAGGCTTAATTTGGAGGTTTATGGAAGAACTACAAACCTTTGGTTGTGCTACTGCCCGCGCAGCCTCTAGAGCCTTCTCCCGTTCTCCTGCCTGGAAAGGTCCACGACGCCCACCTCCAGATATTGGACTACGAGGTTCTTGCCGGCCAGCGGAGTTTTGTCTTGCGGGAGCAGAGTGTTTTCTTTCTCCTGCCAAGGCAGAGTATCTGGAAAAAGATAGAAATTTAATGGCTTGTACTAATGAATGAAATTATTATAATAAGATAATGAATTTATTACCTACCTAGACAATAATAATGGAGTGTTGCTTGCTATGGACACTCTCTTGTCATGCAGATCAAATTTGATCTCATTTGAGGGATAACTAGTTTAGTCCATGAAGTTTGAATCTGACTTTGATTTTTGAAGAATTTTGATCTTTGAAGAATTTTGAAGAATATTCAGCCTGTTTGCTGCTTATTATTTATTTTCTTCTGGGTGAAAACATCTATAAAACACCTTATATTTTAACAGGGGCTACAACTTCAGTGTTACATGTCATAAAAGAGGTCAACTTGAAGGCATTTTGCACCATTCAAACTTTGTACAAAAGAAAGGAAAACAAGGCACTAACTTTGTAAAGGGCAACCATGGTGTTCTAAATAGATAAGATAATATGGATACCTTGGAAAGACGGCAAGCAACATAAGTTTGAGACAAAGCAAAAAAAAGGTTTTTATGAAAAAACTGCCTGCGATTTTCAGAGGTTTTGAAGTGCTAAGAAAAAAAAAAAACTCTGGAAAGAAGGGATTAATGAAATTACTGAGTTACTGATAAAAGTGGGCAAATAAATGTAAAGTATCTGTGAATTAACCAGCCACCAGCTTTTGGTAACTAGACACCTCTCACCTGTTGCCAGTAGGTCTGTTGTCATCGGCTGCAGCGCCAGGAACAGGTCCAGAAGCGGCAGCTGATGGACCAGCCCCAGCGCCAACTGTTCCCGTTCCTCCGCTGCTGCCTCTCGCCCATGCTCCATACCCTCGGCCACCTGGTCCAAGTGAGATGTTCTCAGAATCAACAGGGCGCTAGGAAAACAGAAAGGACCATTTCAGTCTGCAAGTCATTAGCCTCACTACCCAAATTCTTCTTGCTGTTTGTTTCTTTTTGGGAGAATTCACCTTCTGAGCAACCAATTTCAGGAAACCTAAATTGGCATCAGATTCCTGGATTTTATCAATTTTTGCTTAAATTCTCTTGCATTTCTTTTATGTTTGCAAATTCATTGAGGACTAAAAAAGGAGACCACACAATTGTGAACACTATGAAATTCATTTCAATACTTTGCAGTAAACAAAATATTATATTACTACTATCACGTTATCAACATACATGTATTTCTTCTTGCTGTTGGATATTAAAAAGCAAAACACTCAAAGAATAATATTGCGTTTGGTATACTGTAACAAATATATCACCTTGATGTTCTGAAACTTCTTTGGGTCCACACTAACATTTTTTGGCCCTCTGCCCACAGTGGTCCAGGTTTCATCACCCGGTGGAACAACATTTGGTCGAGGACTATCACGACCACCCATACTTCCTGAAGCGTAAAAGCATGGTTACAATGTACACTAGATAAAACAAACCATGAAAACTCATCAAGCCAGTCAAATCTCAATGGGCATCCCATGCATGATATCAGGACTGTCATTAAGTTTTGATTCAGCTGTAGCCTTTATCTTCACATCCGTAGCAAACTCGTTACTTTATGGGTGCATTGTATCAACTACAGGCCAGTTCACCTGCAACATCAAGGGTCCATCAAACATTCTCCAGCATAACAGGTGTGATGGGTTATGGTTGACAGCCCTGGATATGTCACCTACTGTGGAACATCGGGGGCATTTTGAAAAGCTGCCATGCTGACTACAATAATGTTCCAAATTAAGCAAGTTACTGCTCTCATCTCAAATTTACGCTGACAGTCTTGAAGCCAAACCCACCTCTAAGTTTCTTATCCTGTTGTTTGGCCATCTGAATCATGATCTGTGTCTTCTTGGCCTTTTCAGCAGCCTCTTTATGGATCTGATCAATAGTTTTGGGGTTGTTATCCTCCCTACGAGGGACCCAGTCATTTTCCCGTAGATCAACAATGTCTTGCATCATGAATCGCACACGAGCCGATGTTATCCTTGCTGTGATTATTTTGTTGATTTGTGCAAAGTACTGGTCAACCCTTGGCTGGAAATAGAAAGTTAAGTCTACTTATTAACCTCTTACTGTAGGCACAGCAGGCATACCAGGTTTAATCTTTCAACAACAAAAAACCCACATCCATCTACTGTAGTTTAAGTTGGGGTACATGTATTATGATGTAACACGTAAATTAAGAGTTTAAAATCAACCAAATGCTGGTTGACTTGCTTTTTCTGTTTCCTGTCCCTCCCTTCCACACATAAGTTGCTCTGAGTCTGTCCTGAGGTGCTGTGTAACAGCACTGACACAGAAAGCTCCAAGCAGCAGAGGAGACTGTTGCCCTCCAATGATATCAAGTTTTCAGACTCAAATCTACAATGCAATCACCCTTAGGTGTCATAAAAACGAATTTTGAAAAGAAGTGTCTGAAGGATTTGGGATAACGTGACACCCCTGACATGCCAGGGAGAATACAACAACTTATGAGTACTGTGCACACCTTGGCTCTTGCATGGTCAAGGTCTTTTCCAATAGTAACAAGCAACTTGCACAAGCATTCAAATGCCTCCTCATCATTACTCTTCAACAGCTTCACTACACAGTCGTGCATGATGTTCTCTGTCAGCATCTGTGTAAACAGACAATTACATGGTAAAGGAAGTTTCAGTAGTGAGTGATCCAGAGAACAAAGAGCTCTAACCCAAATTTCACCAAGAAAAAGGAGAATCTGAGACGGTTTACATCAAAGAGCATGCTTTTACAATAAGGTAGGATACTAGGAAGATGTGTGCAAACAAAGTTGTGTCCAATAGCCCAGGGCTGGTATTGGGGGGAAAATGTTTGAGGAATTTCAAATTAGAGAAGTAATGTAAGAGATGGAACTGTTCTATTAATTAAGTTGAAAATTTATTAATCATGTCTCTGAGAAATGCTCTGAGGGCTAGTGAGAACAAGTTTTGGGCTAGCACATCAGTTATATCTCCCCCAAAGGGCAAGCCTAAAACTGTGTTTAATTTTTTTTGCACTCCATGGAAGTGCATTATTTCCTTCTAGAGGGCCAAGGGAAGATGTATCAGAACTCTATTCTCAAAAGCATTTTGGAGTTTAGAATTACATCTAATCATACTCGACTAACCTTTAGCTTAAAAAGTTCACCAATAAACCTGATGTTTCCTAACGTGCGTCGTTTGAGAAGGGTCTCCTCATCTTGAAGGTCATTTTTCTTCAACTGAAGTTCCTCTTCCTAAAGGACATAAAACATGTATACATTCTTAACATACATATACAGTTGAACCTCCAGTTGTGACCACCTCTCTTCGGCGACCAGTTTTCTAAAATACCAAAAGTTTCCAAATCAAATCACTATATTTGGAACCTCTTGTAAACAAACACCTCTCATAAGCAACTGCGACCACTTTTAAGGCTAAAAGTTTGAAATTTACCTGTGTTGTTAACCTCCTGTAATCGACCACTTGACAGATAATGGAGCGAAAAATGGATAATAAGGTGTTGTAACCTTATCATATTCCTGCCCGGTACTAGAAACGGAAATTTATCAATGGGAAGAACCAGATTTTTCCCCTCAAAATTGACTTTTACATGAATAAAACATTGCTTCGGCATTGGCGCATGGGCTAAGTCTCGGCAGTTACTATATTCCAATGAGGAAAATACTTTGACCCATTATGGTCAAAGCTCTCATAAGTGACCACCTCCCATAAGCGACCACCTAGGCTTGACACATAGGTCGCTTATGGAACTAACAATTTTATAATAGTTACATGAAGACACAATGCCAGAATACAGAGTTAAGCAATGGGGGCCACCTAGGGTTAGACTCACAATTAACATAAATTACAAGTTATAACCTTCCCTGATCAATTTGGCATGGACAAAATAGCCAAACTTTTTAATTGCTTTGCTCTTACAACTTAACTTGAAGGTTTCATGAGGATAGTAATCAGTTGTATGCTAAAATTACCCTCACATCTATGATCAAACAACTTACACTCAGCCCTTTGCTAGAGAGTTCTTCCAGCTTGTCGTGGATTCTCTTCTCCACAGATTTTTCTTTCTCAAACTCTTTCTGGCATTTGTTCAGCAGAATCTTGCGGAAAGTGATTTCTTTTTTCACCCCATCCTTCTCCACAACAACCTTTTTCTGCACAAAAAAATTCCAGCCATTAGTTGTTTGCCATTTTCAAATGCACCAGACAGAACAAGTATATGCAACTCTTTTCTCTTGCATGGTGCTATACCAAGGGTTCTACTTAAAGCACACCTAGCCCCCCAATTTTTTTTCCCCTAAAACGAACCCACTTGTTATTCGAAGCATTTGGGCGAAAAAATTTTTGAAGTTGGTTGAATCCTCGATTTTCTATGCCCTTTCAAAGTCAGGCCTGAAGTGTTACAAGACCGCGTTTCAGGGAGTCTGGGGCGGCAGTTGCTGATGACGTCTACCCAGGAACCAAATACAATGGCGCCTCAATCAGCTCTCTGTATTTGCTCAAGAAAATTGAAAACAAAACTAATCGTTTCAATATATTTTGGGACTAAAACGTCCAAGTTTTGTTTCAGAATCATTTCTTTTTCATCACTGGAGCCAGAGTTAGGTTTCGATTCGGAAGACACCAAAATAAACTTCGATTGAGCACATTCAACAACTATAAATTCACTGCTTAGAGCTTTGAGAACAATTTGCAATAATTCAAGTGACGATGGGGAAGAGTTCTTTGTGGACAAGCTGCTTGTATATCAGGAATGGAAAGCCAGATACGAAGTGGAGGAGCAGGAAAACGAAAAACAGGAAAGAAAACTCAAGGACTGCTTTGGATGGTAATTTTGTCATCTAAACACAAGACTCCTATGCATGTTTATAGCCCATTTACATTTGTCCTTAGCGAGAATGTATTTTGTCAAGGTATGGTTGTTCTATTAAATCCAGTTTCAGGGTTCGTACTCTTTTTCAGAAACAAATTTCCACGGTTTTTCCAGGACCTTTCCAGGACCTTTCCAGGACTCAGATTGATTTTTCCAGGACTCTAAAATGCATATTAACCCTTCCACTCCCAAGATCTCAATGTTAATTCTCCTTACTGTCTGCCATACATTTAATACTTTTGAGTTTAACAGATTTCCAGAACTTTCCAGGACCAGTAGCCCTTTTCCAGGACTTTCCAGTCCTGGAAAATGCCAAAGTAAAACTCCAGGACTTTCCAGGTTTTCGAGGACTTGTACGAACCCTGTAGTTTGTGTTTTACTTTCTGGAATGCTTCATGTTTATGAGTGACGTAAGTGTTGCAGTATTTGAGACTTGATGACCTCCAAAACATTGGCTTCAATCGATTGAAAATCGTAGAATTGTTTGGACCTGTATTTTTGAAGCTGAGGGATGCAAGGCGGAAGGAAACATTTCATACAATTACCGATTTCACATTGTCATACGTTTTAAGTCCTAACTCCAAATAACCAGTGTAAATTTTTTTTCAAAGTTTGCAGTGAAATTCGTTGGATAAGCAAAAAGGATGTGTTCCCTAAGCAGTACACAGATAAAGTTATGCGGTCATACTTTCAACACTAATGCATAGAATGTTTGTTGCACTGCTGATTTCCAAACCTTCAAAAAACTCTGTGAGTGTAACACTTTTGTTATCATGTAATTCTAAAGGATTAATCTTCGACTTTCATCTAAATCAAAAGAGAAATAAGTGTTTGTTGACGGCGTACAGTTGCGACCTATTTACACATCAGCATATTTGGTTGTAACGCTTCTTGGTTGATCACACAACTTTGCCGGCTATGTTATAAATACTGCGGGACTGGAAGATATAGGTTGTCGGTAGTATTTCAACAAATTGCTGGTTGGCTCTAAGCAGAAAATTTTGAAAATAGTGTTTGAAAGTCTGCAGAACTAATTCCAGTGACAGTTTTTCAATGTTTCTCACACACTCAGTTTGCTTGTTTTGATTCGACAAAATCACCCATCGTTTATGTCTTTATTGTACCATTGACCGATCATCACCAGTAAATTGTACAGTATATCTTTTTTTAGATCTTGGATATTGCTGCAACAGCCAATAGCACTTCTGGAAGGGATTTCTGTGCACTTTTCGAATGTGTATTGCACCACCCTGAAGGAAATGAGAGGACGTGAGATATTCGCCCTTCCTGGGTAGACGTCACAACAGCCGCTGGACCCATTCTCCTCAAACTCAGTCGTGAAACAAAATGGTGGTGTTTTGGGCTATTTTCGAGATTTCCTCGTGGCACAGAAAATCGAGGATTTAACTGAATCCAAAAATTTTTGTGCAGAAGTATTTCAAATAACATGTAGATTCGTTTTGGCCAAAAAAGAAAATTGGGGGGTTAAGTGCACTTAAAGGCCAGGCACAGGGCAACTTGACTGCTGGTGAGGATGATTTTGCCTGCTTAGTTTGACCATCCGAGGAAAGTTGTTTTGCCTGTCAGTGAAAACCAGTTATCCTACTGCCAAAAACATTAATGAAACCCTTGGCTCTACTTTATTTTACAAAATGTGGTAATTTCCAGGTATTCACAATAGTAAAAGCTCTCTTGAAATATACCCCTGCAAAACTTCACACTGAAACATACACATGCTTTAACTTCCTCTAATTTCTATCTGCATACATCAAGTAAGCAATTCCTCACCAGAATGTGGTTTGCTTGCCTTGGACACACTTTCAAAAAGCGAATCACTTTTACATACACAGAAATGTCAAACTGTCTTTATTGTATTAAAAAAATTTGAAACCTTTGCCCTTTGCCCTTCACATCCAACTGTCACTTCATACGTAACAGATGGAAACCTAGAGCACAATTTTCTAAAATTTTTAAATACATATTTGTGACCCTATTTGGGAAAACCAGGCTTAACGAAAATTATGTGGAATTGCACTTCAATGAATTTTGAACGCATTGTCAATGCATTTTAATGTTTGGCGAATGATCCTCAATGCATTTTCAATGTTTCTTGACGAATTCTTTAAATGCAAGCAATGTTCGATAATGTTCCAGAATGCACTAGTAATGTTTTTCAATACATTGGCAACTTTTCACAACACTTGGAGGAATGGTATCAAAAAATGCTTTTTATAATTATTAGCTCAATGCAATGACACGTGATTTAGGTTACAAATCATTGATCAACTGTCGTGTTTACTTTGTCATGGCACGTACAAAATAATGTAACGTTATACATCGCCATCTACACGATTTTTACTTTGAAAATAATTAGTACACTTTTTGTTTCCTGTAGCATTGCATGCGATTATGTGAAGTTTAGTAAAATTGTGGAGCCTAAGAACCCTGGAAGAAGTTAAAGTTTTAGAGTATTTTTTGAACAGGATGTTTTGCTTGATTGCACATGACATCTACTGTGCATTTACGAGCGGCTATCGATGACAACTTTTTCATGAATTGAGTAAATTATCTTTTGAAGCATAGCAAGCATTATTCAGTAGCCAGTGTTGGCCACGAATTCTCGTTGCTTTTTTAATGTTTGATTGATGAGCAACGGCCCTCTAGCCATACACGGCTTGCAATGGCGGTTTAGTACAACTGAAAACATACATTATATTCAATTCCAAAATAATGTACAACAAACCCTAAACATAACATATCACGTTCTTTTAGTTCTGTTAGTAGTCTCCTTTCCCTGTAGCATATGACTTAACACTATGTTTTTATGCATTTCTAATTGACATATTTATTGCAGTGGCTGCAGGTCCTGCAGCTTAAACTATGACAAAAGAGGACTATAAAGTATAAAAAGATGCTTGATTGACCTGCTTTGTGATGAAAGGTATTTTGTTCATCATTGTGGGAGGTGTTTGAATTCACGGACACGTACACGACTATTTTATTCGTAGCATCATCACCTGTATCTCTGGACAAACCTTATTATTACATTTGCCGGATTTTCATACAAGAAAAAGTTTGCCAAATATGGGCATAATTTATCACGAATGGGCATAAATGTAAACATAATGTTCCTTTCAAACTTAAAGCTTATCGATACAAACCACAAAACTAATGTAAGTGACTTAGCCCGTGTTTTCACAAGAGATGTTTACTTTGGTTTTGTTTTAACTTTACTGAAGTGTAATTTTTAATTGTGTAAACACAGTAACAGACCTCGGTAAATGGCGGCAAAATCAAAAGTAAGCCAACCTAGGTTTGTTGACAGTTGAACGCCTCAGGCATGGTTTAGCTCAGTAACTGACCGTAACCGAGGAAAAGCAGATGTTGTACCGACATCTTGGCGGCAAGTTTTCACGCGTTCGGCACGTAAAGAAGAGAAAAATAGACAAAGCTTCCTCCTAGTATAAGTAGGTTTCAAGTCAATGGGCAAAAAAGCTAAATTAACTCATGTTTAGACAAAGAAATCTCGGACTGCTGTTTCCCTTTCATCATCAAGTGCCTTAAGCATTTCCTTTCTGTTAGAATCAGTAGCAAATCATTAGTAGCAGTGTACAGGCAGGTGCAAGACCTACCACAAAGAGACAGCAAAAAATCATAATAATGAGGTCTATGGAGAAGAAAAGCAAATGTTAGAATTTAAAGCGGCCCTGAATAAGAAGAAGTACCAGTAAACATCTACGTAGCCAGAGCTCCGCAGCAGAGGCCGTTTCAGGTTTTTTGCGGGAAGAGGCTCAGCGAGATATTAGAATTTTCTTTCCACTATTCATCTACAAAGCTTTACATGAGTTTGGCTCGACATCACCGCCTGCAAATTGACAACGACCTGCATTCGGCATTGGGGTAAAGTCAGAAATTTTATAATTTTCCAATGTTTCTGTGCAACATTGCAGCACTTACTTTCCAAGAAAACCTAAAACCGTCCATTATATGAGGCCTACTTTAGTTAATTAGTTCCATGTAAACAGCTTCTTTAATAACTGCGGTTTAGTTACCAAACCTTGGTAAGCAGTAACCATAGTAAACCTCTCTCGTGAAAACACAGCATTAGCAATGTTCTGTCTCACATACCTCAGTCCAGTAGTGTCATTTTCCTCTCTCTTAGTAGTAAACTTTAGTAGAATTTCGTGATAAACAAAAAATAATTGATTTCCCAAATTTTAAGTTGAGAACAGGGGCTCCCAATGACTGTTTTCTCTCAAATGCTGATAGCAATGCTTTTTAATGCTGGGTGGTTTCATTGAAATGCGTTGTCAATGATTGAAAACACATTGTAAATGTTTCTCAACAATTTTCAAATGGTTTTCAACGTCTTTCGTTTCAGTGTGAAAACATTGCCAACATTTCAAAATGCAATGAAAATGTTACCCAATGCATTCTCAATGTTTGAAAATGCATTAAAATGAAAAAACGTTACAACGATATTTTCATTAAGCCTGGTTTTCCCAAATAGGGTCACATTTGTTAAACAAATATTACTTACAGGGATGAGGCATCTGCACATGTTAGCATAAGCTACACTAAATGCAGCTTCATCTATGGCCTGCAACAAATCAAGGCAAAAGGTTACATGTAGGTGAACTGACAGAAAAAAAAACATCAGTTATGTATGGCATAAACCATACCAAAATGAAAACTTTTCCCCTCCCATCCAATTTGCTTCTATAAAGCGTACCTACCTTCTCAAATATCAGATCAATTGCACCTTCTAATCTTTCTGCTGTGTCAATATCCAGGTCAATGATCTGTTGTGTCAAAGTCTGAAACTTCTGAGGCGTCAACTTGTTCAGTATACTCCTAACTTTACGGTACAGCTCCTGAAAGGGAAACAGATTGATACAAGTTACAAAAATAGGCACTAATATCATTTTAAGTTGGTTATCGGTAACAGGAAACCAAGAACATAATTAATACTTAGAATAACTCTGACATTATTCTGTTACCAAAACAGCATAACTTTTTACAAACACCCAAAATTAGGCCTTCTAAATCTCAAATGGAAAAGGTCTCTTTACAAGAACCCTCATATTTATCCAAGTTACAGTACCGATCAAGAGAAGCCTGACAGGGAACGCTTGACAGAATGCATTCTGTTTCTGTTCCACACACGTTCTCATTCCCATTCTGTATCCATACTGTATCCGTTCTGTTCCCGTTTTGTATCCGTTCCATATCCGTTCCGTATCCATTCTCTATCCGTTCTGTGCTGTTCTGTTTCCATTTTGTTAGCATTCCATAGCTAAGCATTCTTGGAACTCGTTCACAACAACAAGGTTTCCAAGAACTTGTTTACAAGATTAGCGACACTCATTTGCATATCATGAAATGGGTTAAAACTGTCGCCTTACACTAGAATACGAACAGTAAACTTAAATTTTCGTGTTGAGAATGTGAGTCCAGTTGCCTGAACAATATGGGAAGATGGTATTGCAACTTCAAGGCTAGTTGGTAAGTCTTTTTCTGAAACAATACAAAGCGACCAGTAGTCTGTGTGATTGCCTGAGGAAAGGAAGAAGTAACCAGCTTGCCAAGCACTTTTAATGCCATCGATGAAAAAATGCAAGCAAAAGACGAACTTTCAGCTCTTACATTTACATGAATACTTTTAGTGCGATTCAACACTGAAGTATCGCCGAAAACTTTTCGGCGAATGCAGCAGAAACTTGGCTGGAGGATGCGAGCAGTGCAAAGTACTAACAAAATGCTGAAGCGAGCATTTTGTGGTACTTAGTGATGTTATTTTCACAGGCGAACATTGCTTAGTTAAGATTGAATGTTATCCTTGCTGATCCTTCCGCAAAGCTGGCGAACAACACCGTAATAAAGGTCAACCAAGACATCAATATTTTGTTTTGTTTCTTTCCATGCAGAAACCTTTCAATCCCAGTCTAACTCAACTCGTCCATCCATTTCCTTATGTGGATATAACTTGGGCTTGCTGACAAAAACAAAATGGCCACGATGAACACGAAATGGACAAGGAGATGCAGTGAAGATGCTTGCTTAGTGAGTGTAAAAAGAAATAAAAAAATACAGAAGATGATTTGTTCTGCCATTTTCTCAAGATCGCCAAGCTGGACAAAACTTGGGCGAACTTTTATTTAAAGTTGCATCGTTTCCAAATCCCTGGTAAGCACTCTGATAGCATAACTTACTAGCATGCATTCTGAAGGACGCGTTCTCTTATAGTTTGCGTTCTGGAGAATGCTTTTTCCCATTTTTGTGATTTGTAACCGTTCTGTATCTGTTCCATTTCTGTTCGGTATCCGTTTGGTATCCGTTTGGTATCCGTTCTATACCCGTTCTGTAACCGTTCCATTCGCGTTCTCATACCCGTTAGGTTTCTTCTGATTGGTACTGTAACTTATTATTATTATTTAGCTAAAGAATGATGTAATTGCTCAACAGTCTCCTAGTAATATACTTGTCTGTCTCCTTTAACACTCTTTTAGTTAGAATTGATTACATGCATGAGATGTCTCTCCTAAAAACCCTGAAGAACAGGGCTATCATTAAAAGGCAGTAACCTGTAGCACCTGTCACAGCTGAATATGCTTGATTTTCAACTCGTTGCTATGGGTGAAATTGCCTGTTCTTGATAGAATCACAAAGTAACAAGTTTGCTATGGGTGTGGAGAACAAGGCTACAGGTGCCTCAAAACTTAATGACAGCCCTGAAGAACACTGTAAAACTTGGGACATATAAAATTATGCAATATTAGTAGAAGGCAATTAAACTTAACAGTTCAACACAGCATACTCCAGATAAATAGAGCTTACCTCAGTTTTTAGATCCTCTTCAGAACCTTCTTTGGCTATCTCACTTGGTCGCACCCATCTTTTCTCAGTTCTTCTCAACTGCTGCAAACAAATCAACAATTATTATCAACATCATCATTTGGACATCAAGTTACAATTAAACCTTTCTAATCTACACCAGCCACCCCTGTGCAGAATTGACTAGCCAATTTACAGACGCAGTCATTTTTAAACTGACCTTTAGTTAATTCAGGTCCTGGATGGGGGTGGTGGACTCTCAGTAACTGCAGGGTTCCAGATCATAGCGTGTTGAAAAGCAATTCCAACAGGTCAATTCCCACTGCACCCACCAAATCATTATAAATTTTCTATTAATATGTCGGGTCATGTAGCTGATCTTGTCAGGTTTTCTACCCGAGACCCCTCACTTATCTGAAACACTGTAACCAATAAACTGTTCAGCAGTTTTTCAGCTATCTGTTTAAATTTCAGCTCATTTCTGAGCTACAAGTAAAATTTGCAGATCTCTGATCTCGTGTCATTTCTCAGCTGACAGTCAAAACACTCTACTCTTTTTCTAGCAGAACACTCAAGGCAATTTGACCAATTCTTGACTATCAGACCCTCCAAACTGTATGGATTTGGCACAGGGTCATACCTTCACTACTGGTTACTGTAGAAGAAGTGCAGTTTACACTGTAACCTGGCATTCCAAATTCGGCAGATAGAGCTAGCTAAGAAATTTACTCTTACATGTCCTAAGAAACTCTCCACTTAAACAAAAAAAAAACAATCTTATTCTATAAAATTGGCATGTATCGGTTGGCATTTACCTCACTTCCCGTAGTTTTTGGTGCAAGTTCAATAACTTTCTTGGGTTGCACATTTCTGTTACCTCGGGCTCTTTGGTTGGAAGAGTTATTCTGCAAATGAAAAGGAAAAAATGTTTTATTTTCCCCTCAATTTGTGGAAAACACACATGTACATCAGAAAACTCTAACAAAAAGGGAAAGTAGTACTTTGCTTATTGTTTAACAAGTAGAAGTGCGTAACAAAGCATCATTACATAATCTTTCACTAGAAGTAATGGAATCCAAAAGCAAGAAATCTCTCTCTTTTAAGATCGTTGTTTGCTGTTTCCAAGTGCAAAAACTCTTTAAATAAACAGTGCATGGCTGGTAATTTAATGCCCCATCATAATCATTCAACTGATGCAAAATCTAGCAATCTAGCAAGTGACTTACTCTTGAATTCTGGCGAAGATATGCAGGCAAAAACATATTTTCACCGGCATCAGTTTTAGGCATTCTGCAACAGAGAGAACACAGTTGCACAAGTTAGGACCAATAAAAATTCAACAGTGGTAGCTGTATGCCAATGGTGCTGTAGTTAGACAACAAAGCAAATGCAGAACTAGTACAAAACTTTTGCTATGTTTTCAAGTCACTCACATTCTCAGTAACTATAATACAAAGGACTATGATCAGTAAAGAGATGTGTTAGCTTAAAGCTCTTTCCCCTTCCCTCAATTTTAGTAGCTACACAATTTAGCAATAAAAATTATTTCTTCTAGCATCAAGGTACAATTTTACAACTCTTTATCCTGACTGCAATAAACAAAACCCTCTATCATTATATGAACTCAAAGTCTTGTCTGCTTTACTTCTGTTGATAGCCGGATTTAGATGGGGTTCGTGGTTGGCCAAGTACAACTTCCAAGTCAGGTAGGCCTTCAGGTTTCAACATGCACATGGGATTTGTCTGAAACTGCAACAGGAAATCTCTCTCATAGGTGAGCTTTCCACCATCTGTTCGAGACATGTCTGATTCCCCATCAAGATCTGGAAAACTTGATTCTGTTGACAGGAAATAAATGACAGTTGGAAACAAAATTGGGGGAAAGTGCGACACACCTAACATAGGCAGACTAAGCCATTGTCACCACTGCCATTCTTTAGTGTTCATTAATCAGTTGTAAAAAATCACAATAATTTTACTTCTTCAACCTTAGCAAGATTCAGGCTCAAGTTCATTAAACACAGGGTTGGAAAAAAACCCGAATTCCAGCTTGCCCTTAGGACAAGTAGCTCTCAACTTTTGCTTCCCCTGGGCACATATTAGTTTGCTCTTTTAATGATTTACTTGGCAGATGATTTGTCTGATCTCTTGCCCATCAGGCAACTAAGAAGGAAAAATTACTCGCCCAGAAGGAAAATCTACTTATCCAAGATAATGGGACGGCACGTTTAAGTTATGAACTAAAGAAGAACACAATATGACAACGACCGCACACTGCAGCATCTAACACCATCGACATCATTTATTCTTCACCACTTACCTTCTTTATCCTCCCATGTCTCATCCTCTGATTGAACTTCTTCGCTAACTTCTTCCTCTTTTTGTTGCGTTTCTTCAGCAGCTGCTTCCTCGCTGTCCTCAGGAACCTATGTACAAAGTAGTTAAAACAGTCAAAACTTTTGTATTACTGACATTACTCTGGCGAGACTAGCTCAATCTGTCAGAAATTGTCCTGGTTTCCAACACATTAAGCCAACAGGATTAAACCTACTCCCCCAAGATGGTACATTAGTCTGTAACAGGTAAACCCCTAACATTGCACCAGGTGTGCCCACAACAATAATAGAAATTTTCACCAGTAATTCCTGATCCGATCATACTGATGCGAGATCAAAACTGCAGATGTCTGATGTGTAAAAATATTGGAGATTGCATTGCCTGCAGATTGGCAAAAATCACCTACATGCAGTAGGCCTACAGCAGACACTGATAATATTCTCTTCAAAGCGATCCTATCGTGTTGCAGGCTTTACAATTTGTCAGTGATCAGTTTGTTTAAAAACATTCTACTTGTGTTTGATGTTAATAGTACCTCTTGTTCATCGTCCAATGCGGATACTAAGTTTTTGTCCCATTCTTTGTCACTATTTATTAAATGACACTAATTTAGAAGCTTTTAAAGTAATTAAAATAATAAATTCCAACTTTTTGGAGGGCGAGATTGTAAACTTTCTTCCATGTTCCTTTTAGCTCGAGGATGTTCTAGCCTGTTCTAGCGTGTTCTAGCATGCTAACTCACACACTAAGCATGTTACGGTTAGCACGCTAATCAAAACAAAAGGTTTAGCGTGTTAACATCTTTGTGTCTTTCATTGTGCTACAAATTAAATATGTGCATAAAGTGTGTCTTAGGACACGCTAAGTGTGCTGTGTTAGCATGTTGTGAGCATGCTATCACCTTTATCCTTGTTTTCCTGTGGAGGGTCACTATCTCAGAACTTTGCTGGATGGACAGGGGCAGTGTGAGAGCAACACTTTGTCTTTGTCTTGCTCAAAACCCAAACATACAATCCTACTGTAAGTCACCAATATATACTGGATAACTAAACTTGAAATGTCCCCCCACCCCCCAATGAATTTTTTGTTTTGTTTTAGAATAACAGCAATCATTCATCTTGCATGTGTGTATGTTGCCAATAATGTTTAAGTGTGCATTGCTGCAGGTATTAAACTGTTTTTACCTCTTCTTTGGGAGGCCTTTCTGTGTAAGCCTCCATGAGATCCATTTCTTTCTCCGAAGAACGTTTCTCCATATCCTTGAGGCGTTGCTTCTGTTTCTTTTTCTTCATATTGTCTTTGGCTAAAAATAAAAACAATCACAACATTAGATTATATTATAGTTTATCATAGAGAAGTGAGGAAATTCTTATCTGCTGGATATTGTTATGGCATATTTGGCAAAATTATCCAGATAAAATAGTGGGGTTGGGTCTAAACAAGACTGTATCTTGAGGCCATGCAGGATCCAGACACATGCTATTGCTTTTCAAGGAATAGTGATTTTATTTACATGCAACAAAACAGTAATAATAGTACATCTATCTAATCCTGTATTTAAATCACTCTTGTAGTCTGGCATTCCTGCGTAAAAAAAAAATCTAACCACTAAACCCCTTGCCTAAATCACACCAAAACCAGTATCTCAGGCAGCAGCAAATATTTGTGACATTGTAATTCATGTAATTATAAGCCAAATATGTTAATGCCTGACAATAACCAATTCAGCCTGTGACAAATCAGTATGTTTTCCCTTCACTTCACAAGTTAACCCTGATTTCTGGCACTCTCTCGATTAGTTCACTCTCATTCCTCCCTGAGAAGAAATGGCTGAACACCACCCATCCTTCTGGAGTGGAGCACAGGCCTGTTATCCAGACAGTGGCTAGTACCCAGACTCATTAACAAGAGAAATGAAAATGATTGGATACAAAGACTTCTCTTAAAGAGCAGCTCAGTGGTCGAAAAACCAAAATTCAAATGATTAATGTAATTCAAGAATTGTTTCTGTGATGCATTTGGTTTTCCTACATGTTTTTGCAAGTGGACATTTTAGCATACTGCCAAATTAATTTGACATCCAAAAAATTAATTCCCTACCACAAAAATCTCACAAAAAGAAAAAAACTAGACAGAGACTGCAACATTTTTTTTAACTACAATTCTGTGTTCTAGTTACAACACTACAGCTAGTTTCCTACTGTTGAAAAGATTTTATCTGTTCAAAAACATTTGGTTTTCTGTACAATAATGGAATGATACAGTTATCATAACCTAAAACTGTAATGTTGCGATAATCAGTTGACAGCGCATGGATGGAATTTAATGAAAGCTGGCCTAAGAGTGCTGAATCATTCTGTAGTGATGTAAATATATACATGTACATCAAATATAAAATGCTGTCCATGTTACAATCTAGCTCAGACCATTAATCTAAATGTTTATTTTCTATAATTCAATGATAGTTATGTAATTATGTTAGTACAGGAAAAGAAACTGAACCCACTACCTCTAAATTCAACCGTATTACAACCACATCTGATGATTAGGGCAACAACATTACTCGGAAACTTCCTAACAAAGCAGTTAATTACTGTAGATTAAATCCCTGCAAAGTGGTCTAGATTGCAGCTGTAATGAATGTTGAATCACTGGTAATTTGATCAGTAACAAAGCTAATTGAAACAATTCCTACAATTCAAGCAGGAAGTTACACAATTTTAGAAGATAAATAAATTCTACACAAAAAAATTCATGAAAAAATGAAAAGACAAACTGAAGAAGAAATAACAAAATTTTCATGTCCCTGCCTCCCAACACAGAGTGTTGAAACATCATTTTCACTTTAGGTATTAAACTTTCAATTGAAACTACACAGTGTGAAGAACATGTTACAAGACATGGTTTCAATTTGTCAGCAACATAAACAATCAGAGCTCTGCTTGCCTTTTCACTACAATATCAAGAACTATAACACAAATTACAGACTTTAGATGGTAAAAGACATCCTCAGAAAAGAGACAGAAAGGAATTCACGGGTTAAGTTTCACTTTCAAGGATAAAACACAAGGGATTCATAAGCGGATATGCCTTTCAATGGTTGCATGACTTCACATGGTAATTACACGCATATTTGCCAGATGTTTGCTTCTTAGGGCAGGGAGTATTAATCACAAAGACCATCAATTTCAATCGAAAAAGAACGCAATTAAGAACTTGCCCAGTGCTTGAAGCAATTCCTAAGTATTTCCAAACATCAGAAGCAGAAAGCCATGCGATGTGAGTCCGCGTGTGTATTGCCCAATTTTGGAAATGTAATGAAATACTTGGTATTCAGTTGTGAGTCACCCATTAATAGACACTGACCTCATCAAGGGGGGCCAATATCACATTCTTGGTAAACAATCAAGTGTCATATTGACAGGAGTCATGCAAATTTAATTGTTAATATTTAATCACCCTGTGTGATGGTTACTTTAACCTTTTCCAACTTTGTGACAATTATATTGCATAGCAAAGCAAATCCACAAAAACCTTCTACTCAGGCAAAAACAATGGATCAAGATTAAATTCTTCCATAGCGGATCCATTAAATTAAGTTCTTTAGTTCAATATCAATAGCACTAATTATTAACAAATTAATTTAGGGCCATGACCTATCTAGCTGACCACTAGAAAACAATTTGGTTTGATAAAAATGTTAAAGAAACAACTTTTTCTTCTTTGAATTGTTAAAAAAAACACTATAAATTATGTTGCAATAAAAATCTTTTCAATCTCCATCAATATATGCTGGTTTGTGACAGTACAATTTTTATAGGTGAGGCCTAAATTCAAGCCTAGTGATCCATCAGGCTGCCGCTTATCTCTAGTTTCCTTCACATTACATGATTAAGAGTACTTCTCTGTCTCCCTGGATGGGATGAGCAAGATTACCCTCATGATTCCATCCACTCATACAACTGGGTGGAAAGAAGCACTCTGTGAGTAAAGCAACTAGCCCAAGAATACAACACAATGTCCCAGGCCTCCAACCCAGACCACTCAATAACCATGAAAAGACCACTATGCCCCACACCCCATCTCCCACATAAGTTAAAGTTTTGTCAGAAAGATATCAACACTTTCATTTTATACACAGGAGTGCAAATTTTTATATCGTTAACTGAGGGGAAATAGAACTAACATTTTCTTTTATTTTAACTGAAATGTTGTATCAAGTTGGTTTAATGGAAAATATCAATGACGAGTTCTGCCTGTCCTACATTTAGAGTAAAGAACAATATGTGAGTGAGGAGAAATTAAAAAATATATATATCTGAGCTGCGTCTTCCGCTACAGAAAACTGAAGAAAGATTTTCCTACATTTACTTCTCCTAGAAGACAAAGGAAGACAATGCAAGAAAAAGGATAGAAAATCACTGGTTTATTGCAATAAGAAAAAAGTAAATATTTCTCTTTGCTTGCATAATCATTACATTAACAGCCTGCAAGAGTTCTTGTGCTTCTAACAGAGTTCTAGAAAACCAATCATAACTATCCGCAACCTAACAGGGTGTTCCATAACAAAATCTACAGAACAACTTAAAACTACCTTAATTTTCATACAACTGGAAATTTGCTTCAGTTCCTTTGACAAATTAATAATACATCTGGTATTTTCTTTCAATTACAAGACGTCTTGTATAATTATTCAAATGACAATACATCTTGTATTTGGTAATACACACTGCTGACTGGTCATTTCAAGATTCCTGAGGATAGCTTTAGCAGCTTTCCACAGATTTCTGAAGAACTTTCCACTACACTTAAACAGAGCCATAGATACGTGTAGATGTTGTGGGTGAACAACAACAAAAAAACACTCGAGATAAAGAACAAAAGAAATAAATACAAACCGGCTGCTTGTGTGTCTACAGGATTCTTTGGAACAACGGGCACCTTCAAGTCACCTTCATGGCCGTTCAGCTTCTCAACGCTAGCTGTATCCTCCAACTCAGGAGCTGTTGGCAAAACTTCTGCTTCTGCAGATTCTTTGGCTGTTGCTTCGGGTTCAGCAACTTGTTGCTGCACCACTTCATCAACTTTGCTGTCTGCCACAGGTTCTGTGACGTTCTCCACAGGTGAAGCTTCAACCTCCAATTGAGCCTCCACTTTTGGTTGAGCTTCAACCTCCTTTTGAGCTTCAACATTTTTAACGTCTTCTTCTATTTCTTTTACTTCCTCACTCGGAAGTGATACTGGTCCATTTAATGTTTTGGCCTCTTCAACTGGTACCACTTCAGTAACAGCTGGCTCTGCAGTTTCTTTTTCAGGTTCTTTTTCAGGTTCTTTTTCAGGTTCTTTTGCAGGTTCTTTTGCAGGTTCTCTTGCTGGTTCTTTTGCAGGTTCTTTTGCAGGTTCTTTTGCAGGTTCTTTTGCAGGTTCTTTTGCAGTTTTAACATCACTAGCAGCTGTGCTGCTCTGTTGTGCTTCCTTAAGAGTCTGTTCTTTGTTGCGCACATCATCTGCCCTAAAGATTTCTACTCTGACATTGGGGATTATTCCTTTTGTAGATGTGATTGCATCCACTGAACTGACTAAAGATTTTGGTCCCAATGAATTCTCTATGGAAACTGCATCATTAAGTTTAGAGCCCTGTACGGCTTCCTTGGGTTGTCTTTTTGCATCCTCTTCTTTGGCTTGTGTTTCAACAACATTTTCAACTGGCTTTTCAGCCGATTGAGTTTCTGATACATTAATATTCGAACTAATTTCAGTTTCTTTTGCTACTTTGTCTTTTGATATATCTGCTACTTCTTTTACTTTGCTAGTATCTACTGGCACTGGTTTATTATTTACCGGTGCTTTCTGGATGGTATATTCAGCAACCTTCTTAGGTTTCTCCTCGCTATCATTGGCTAAGGTTGCAGCGACCTGCGCTGCAAACTGCGCTCGCACATTGGCCTCAGCTTGCTGTTGTGACGTCAAAGGAGGAGTGCTTGAACTACTAGACTGTCCTGAAATATCTGGGGTAGAATTATTAGGGGTGCCAGTGGTACTGCCTGTTAAACTTCCTGAGGGTTGACGATTTAGGATTTCTTGCGTTACATCTTTGTTACTGTTGGGATCTTTTATCTGGATTATTTTTCTCTCCCGTGCACGGGGCTCAAAATTTTGAGTTTGATACTGTGGCACTCCAGGCATGGGAGCTGTGGGGGCTCTCATGATATAAACAGGAGGTGAGGGCTGTCCCATGGGATAAACTGTCGTCTGTGGATAGCCGAATGGTCCTTGTGATGGTGAAGGACCAGATACAGGTGGAAATTGACCCTGCATCGCTTGCTGAGGTCTGTATTGCATCTGAGGTGGACCACCCATTGGAATTTGTGTGTACTCAACCTGTTAAGAGATAAACATCAATAAAGATCAGAAAATGCATTGCCCAGTGCGCTGAGGACAGAAAGGGGGTAAAAGGTAAGAAAAGGGAAATTTAATTAAACACAAGGTAAAGGATATTATGCTGTGGGTCCTCTCATAACAACCTGTTACTCTGAACGTTAGAGAGGCCACCCTTATAGAAGAGAGAGATCTACCGATATTTCTAGAGTTAACCATATAGACAGGATTGTTTTATTGGAAAATACACCACTTGTAAAATTCATACAAATTTACATCCAGCACCATTGCGGTGTATTTTCCATGTCCTCACTAGTGAGGACGTCAATGACATCATTTCCCACCAGTGCACTGCATGGCTGCCAAACTTTGCCAAATGCCAGTTGAAAGATGGCCAGCAATACTGAAGCCAACATAAAATCTTTCACGGGATAGTTTTAAAAATGATGGCAGGATCTGCGATGACATATGGAAAATCATGCATTATCAGGCAGGATCAGCATAAACATACTGAGTGGGTCGGGATGGCAGGATTGAGCCAAAACATAGTGACCAGACAACATTGTCTGAGGCAGCAAATGTAACAGGCTCTTCAATATCCTGCAACATTTTTTGTCATGTGTGACAGTCACAAGCAAGATGCGGGACCTTTTGTTAGCTACCTCAAGTGGCAAAGATGCACTGCCTATCACAGCCCTATCACAAACGTCACAAGAATGGTTTGACCGTAAAGGTTGTGCAACATTAAAAATTCTGCCTCAGGCCGGTTTTTAGCCAGAATTTGAAAAGTGGCTGTCCAAACTGTGCTATAGGGCTTGCCCAAATGAGCAGTTTGTAAGGCAACATATGAAAAATAAAACAACTGGTTTTTTTTTTAAGTGGCCATCCACAGGATTCCCGGACACCCATCTGGCTAAAAGCCTGGCCTCAGGTTGTAAACTGTAAATGACGTTTAACCAGCTCACACTTACATGCTGTGGAAGAAACTGTGGGTTTTGCCCTTGGGGAATGAAGGGGGGTGGTCCATGTCCTATCATTTGTACTGCCATGGGACCCCCTGGAGGTGAAGCATACATTGGCGGATTGTTTGGGTTTTGGTGTCTTGGAATTCTCATGGGTCTTTGGCCATGGTAAAACGGCTGTTGATTTGGGAGGCGGGGTTGTCCTTGGGGTGTCTGCATTTGGCCAGGCATCTGCCCCATGACTAAATTTTGTGGCATTTGTGCTTGAAGCTATAAAGTCAAACAAATCAAAAAAGACAAAATTAGTTACTTACAGTACATAAAAAATAATAACCTATGTTTACAATGGTAGAACATGGTTAGTTAATAATGTGTACTTCCAGAGAATATCCATACCTCTCCCAAGGAAGGGATTTTTCTTCTGAGACTACCTCACCCCTCTTGAAATTTCATATACATGTACATGTAGTTATATCTTTTGGTCTAACAGAACCCCACCAACCCCCAGGAAATTCCCATCCTGTCTGTGCAGGGAGTATGGATATTTTCTGGAACTGCACAATAGAAGCAAAGCAGTATAGAATATTTGTGCTGGACAGCAAAGTTAACCATCAGAGTCTGCTCTGCTAGAAAAGAGGTCACAGAACATTAGTTGCTTCTGGCTGACAAGATTACCATGACATCTCGAATGACCCAAAGGACTGTTTGTAATGGAAGAGTGAGAAAATCCTATTTTGTTTGATTGAAAACACAGATAATTTTGTTTTAAGCTTACTTAAAGTAGAAAAGCAGTCAAATAGAAGAGTCAAGGACTTTCTGAGGATTTCAAGGACACATCATAATTATTTGAGTTATTGCACTATAAAAATCACTACACACACCAACAAGGGAATGAATAAAGTGATCACTCAAAAAATCAACTATTTTCAAGAACTTTTAAGCACCCGATTCAGTTTTCAAGGTCTTTCCTTAAATTTGTGTAAACACACTCAAGAACTTTCAGGGTTCATTCACTGCCTATATCAAAGTGAGATGCAAGTTAGAAACTGGTAACCAGGTGACGGTATGTAGTTTCTGGTTTGCAATTCAAATTGTTAGTCAATTTGGTACCGATATTCTTTCAACGAAAGACTTTGTCATAAAGCATTGTTAACCAGGATAACTGCAACCAGGATGTTTTCAATTGATTATTCATATTAGAAATGTTACCCCAACACACCTTTCCCAGTATCTATGAAGTTACCAAGTACTTGAACAAGAATATGTTTTATCACACTACAGTAAACTATAGATCAATTTTTAAGACATAGCTCCTTTGCAATCATGATACATGATTCTTAGAACTTTGAATTCTTTCAGTTTATTTAATTTAAACATTTTGTTCACAGTTGAATGCATCCGTAGCAACCATTTGAAAGCCTGATCAGTTCACATCTTTCGATCAAAAGCATTCATTTTCTCGCAGTAAGCAGGGATGGCAGCATTCTAAGAACAGTTTTATGGCTTCTCGTAACTATAAAGCACACTTGAGAAACAAGGTTACACTGAACATTAAATTCAGTTGCCTGGGACAACAGAGCATTGCAACATCAAACTGTCTACATACATCACCCAGCTGCGCACAGTAGGAACAAGGAACCTCAGCCATTAACCAAACATACCCAGTTAAAGTGCACCTAACCCCAATTTTTTTTTTTTTTTTTTTT